TTTACTGGCTCCATCCCCGCCTCTTCGACCTGTTTGTTTCCTCTCCACCTATCCTCTCCTCTATCCATCTTCTATCCGCCTCCCACTCTCTCCCTATTTATTTCAGAACACCCTTCCCCTCCCCCTTTTCTGATGAAGGGTCTCGGCCCGAAACGTCAGCCTTTCTGCTCCTATGATGCTGCTTGGCCTGCTGTGTTCATCCAGCCCTGCACCTTGTTGTCTCGGATTCTCCAGCATCTGCAGTTCCTACTATCTCTGATTCAAGCTTTAATAACAAGTGTCTTTACAGCAAAGAAGGGGGATTATACAAAACCATTCCAATTGAAAAAAGATATTGAAAACACAAGTTCATACAAAAATGTAAAGAGTTGGAACTAGAGGTGGTGTAAGTGTTATCAAGAAGGGATTTTAAAAAGATGTATTTAAATAGCACTTTACACAACCACTGGACACGATAAAATGTGCTTTACAGCCAACAAAGCATTTTGAAAGCATAGTCTATGTTGTAATATGGAAACCTGGCAGCAATGTATGCACAGCAAATTCCCACAAATAGCAGTGTGATAATGACCAGGTCATCTGCTTCTATAGTGTGGATAGGTGGATTAATATCCAATAGACAGAATATATCTCTTCCACATTTCTTTAAAACAGATCTGTGGGATCTTTCACATCCAGCTGGGCTGGCACACAGAAACTCAGTATAATGTTCCATTGGAAAGACAGTACCTCTGACAGTGCAGCATTCCCTCAGTGCTGCACCAGTGTACCTGCCATTGGTAGTTCATTCTGTACACACTTGTTAACCAAACAGAATTTTAGCCCCTGTATGGAAAGTGGGATAAAGAGGCTTTTGTGACACAGTGGTAGTGTCCCAACCTTTGAGTCAGGAGGCCCTGGTTCAAGTCCTACCTCCTCTAGAGATGTATCATAATAGCTCTGAACAGGTTGATTAGAAAATATCTAAGGGGGAAGCTTTTTTAATGCACTGGCTATGTCGCTACCTCTGATCCAGGAGGCCCTGGTTCAAGTACCACCTCGTCCAGAGGTTAGAGAGTTATAGAGATATACAGCACGAAAACAAACCTTTCAGTCTAACACATCCGTGCTGACTAGATATCTCATATAAATCTAGTCCCATTTGCCAGCATTTGGCCCATATCCCTCTAAATCCTTCCTATTTGTGTACCCATCCAGATGCCTTTTAAATGTTGTAATTGTACCCGCCTCCACCACTTCCTCTGGCAGCTCATTCCATACACACAGCACCCTCTACGTGAAGAAGTTGCCCCTCAGGTCCTTTTTAAACCTTTCCCCTCTCACCTTAAACCTATTCCCTCTAGTTTTGGACTCCCCTGCCCTAGGAAGACGACCTTGACTATTCACCCTATCCATGTTCCTCATGATTTTATAAACCTCTAACGCTCCAAAGAAAATAGCCCCAGCCTTTTCAGCCCCTCTCAATAGCTCAAACCCTCCAACCCTGGCAACATCCTCGTAAATCTTTTCTGAACCCTTTCTAGCTTCACAACATCCTTCCTCAAGGAAGGAGACCAGCACATCTGAACAGGTTGATTAAATATACCTAAAAAGGAAGATTCCCCTCCAGAGGCTCTCGAACTTGTTGGAGGTTTATAATAGAACAGAAAGGAGGACTGAGTGTTCCATCACGGACTGTATAACATATATATATATACATACAACAAACCTTTTATTAACTGGCACCTACAGGACCAGGAGTGTACCAGTTGATCGAATACTCCAGTTGACCAAGAGGTCGTCCTAACTGCAGTAATACGACCAAGCAAAACTTCGAGACATCAACATCCTCAAAAAGAAATCGATATAATAACATTAACACACCAATTAAAATCGGTGTAAGAAAATACAGTATGTAATAGAAACATAATGCAGTACATATATACATCGCTGTTAAACTTTATTCAAATACCCAGACATTGTGTGTATATATATATTTTTTTGTCTGTTTATCAAGTACACCGGCTGATTTAAGGTGCTGGTTAAAACAAAGTTTGCTGTAACATTGAGAGTAGAAAGGAGGTCTGGTGGTAGCTCTCTATTTTGACTCTACTTAGGTGGAAGAGGTTGGTTCTGCAGCATGGAGAAATTCTAAATAAAGAGTAATTTGTCTTGGACATCTCAACAATTGTTGTATTTGTTTATGGTTAGTGTACATAGATTTCCATTTGTGAGAGTTAATGCTCTAACTGTAAACACTGGATTCTCACAACAGCAAACACTTGAGACCTTTTAAGGTCAGAATCTTGTAGTTTTTATTTACATTTCTGTTGCGCAAGGAAACATCCAGTGTACACAAAAAATATTCTGCTTTTATACAACCTGTCAAAAAGCATTAACATATCACAGCATGAAGGAGAAGCTAAGTGCAAAGAAAACAATAAAAAAAAAATGAACAGCAATGTTTGTTTACAGAGAAGTTTACAACACAGTTTTACACATTAACACTAATGCATATTTCAAATGACACAATGTACAAAAAGAAACAAAATCAAGAGTGGTTACATATTTGGTTTTGCTTTTAATAAGACAATCTCCATACAACACACACGTACACACACACACACACACACACACACACACACACACACACACACACAGGCAAATCCCTTTCCCCAGTTACTCATTCAGAAAGTCAATTCCATTTTGAGTTTATTATTTCTAAGCCACATTCAACCTCCCTTCAAACTGTACAATTAATATTTAGGTAAATACCTGATGGGGAAATAAAAAGAAAATGAATAAACGAGGTTTGTTTTTAAAGCTACAATGGCTATGTGCATTCCCACCACCTGGATATTCTGAGGTTTAATTTTATCGTATTATTACTGAAACCGACTGCTTGTTTTCAGTCACTTTATTTTTCCCCAGCCTCAATTTTGGGGGAAACTGTCCATCACAAAGAATCCTTTGTAATAATCAATGTACAGAAATATCAAATAAAACTATATTTACAAAACATCCAGTAGTGTAATACCAGATATTGTACTGTGTGCAGGAGCACAAACAGTAATGTAAATTGTTGTCAGTACCTCCACAGAATTGAATTACTTTAAACAATGAAAGGGTGCATATAATTAGCATCATTGGGAGTGGGATGGGGCTGATTTTAACCAAGCTCCTCAGCCCAGGAATCCATGGATCGAATGGAAATCTTAACTTTACACTGAATATTACTTTCAGCAGGCAGCTGTATTCCACACTGCACCCGGTCCCTTCAGTTCCGTGACAGATGGGGTGTGTTAACGCTCGCCCGATTAGTGGGGCGCAAAACAGCGATCCGTCCGATCCTGTGAATATTCCATTTGGCAAGAATTAAAATTCCACCCTTCACCAAGAAAAAAGCCAGAATGCACATGGCAGCATAAAGACCAGGAAATATTCTGCAGTCATGCGAGGTGTATCGTACAAATAATCTCACCCTCAAACTATGTGGCAGATTGATGGGCCTGCTTTAGTTCCCATAGATGGTGCAATGGGACATTTTAAAAGGGCATCAATGGAGTTTCTGCTTACATCTTACCTCCCGTTCCTAAAAGTGACAACTCCTGCCTGGCAAGGAGTGGGGCTAGTGTTGATGATTCCGGGGAAAGTGTCAGCTTCTTGGTACATTGCTCTATTCGGCCTACACCATGGGCAAGGGCAAGGAGTTTACTCAGGACTGGAAGCTGCAGGGGCCATCCAGACCAGTCCTAAACCAGCATCTTACTCACGCACACCCCCCATTGGGGCTTACTGTGTCAGAGCCAGGAGTGAAAGGCTGGTTCCCCACCCGCCCAACTCTCTAACCCAGGACCACTCAGGATAATCCCTGCGCTCAATAGGCTAACCGGACTTCAGACAGCGAACCGATCTCATAAGAACATCCAAACAGGGGAGCTTCTTTTCTGCAAGGTTCCATCTAACAATGGACAGTCCAGTAGGTCACTGGGACAGCAAATCTGTGAAGCGTTTCGATCCACTCGATTTCAGTGCATGAGTCAGCAGGCAATGGATCTTTCCAGGGAAAATGGAAAAGTCGGGGGCACTGAAGAAAATGCCCACGGTTAGTGAATCTGTCATCAGGCTTCTACCTCAGGGTGAAGCAGGTGGGTCTCCAGTGGTGTGTTAAGATGCTGTGGGTTCATGCCTGAAGCTCCTCAGCATAAGCTGTAAGGTAGATCATTTAGCCCCAGGTCATGGGGGAGGGTTACATTTGGAGCATGAGGAGGGTCAAGGTTGGGGACAAATGGGGGCAGAGTAATGGGGCATAGAGAGTAACGATGGAACAGGGAGGAACAGGGGCATTGGGGATAACAAGGATGCGGGGAGTAACGAGAGGGTGAGAAAGGGGAGGAAGTAAAATACCTTGTTAACAAAAGTGTGCAGTCTGACAAAAGATAAAATAGATGCTCTGCCAGGATAACTAGCTGCACAACTGTAATAATTATCAATGTTTAATTGTACATAATTATATAGACACTCTCCCTTCTAGACAACACATCCTCTCACTGAAGGTTAGACCACACACTCCTTTAATTGGAGAACAATTTTAAAATATATTTTGTACAGTTATACAGCAGAAATATAAACTTAAGAGGAATATATAAATGGAGCAAGCTACAATTCAGAAAGTTTTTTTTTGGAAAAGCCATCTTTTTTGTTATAAAAATAGGACATCTTGACAACAGCTGATACTAACACTGGCTAGATTCTGCTGCTGTGATGCATGTTAGCCGTGGGAGAATATGGGAGAGAAAACCACAAAAATTACACTGGCGAAAGAAAGATCACGCATTAACCTTTCAATCAGATAAACTAGATGGGTGGGTGGAGGAAGGGACAAGAAATGATTGAATTAAAGCTTTAGCAGCATTATCAGATTGGTCATCTCTTTATCATTTTCCTGTTAAGGCATAGGCTAAAACGGCAAGGCCCCAGAACCAGGCAACTTGCGGACGATTGATTCCAAGATTAAATCTTTGCAACATACAGTCAACTTGGTAATACTGAACTTACATATTAGAGAGAGAGAGAGAGAGAGAGAGAGAGAAAGAGCGCGAGACATGTGTTGCCAAAGCATTTTGTCTTGCATCCATCTGGACAAACGCAAGAGCACCAAATTATTTTGTTGTGATCCTTTGACATTTGGCACTCTTGCATTTGCAACACCACTGATCGTCAACTTCAGTGAACGCATAACCTCATTCTTAAAGGCATTCTGTAATACTGATGGTCCCTCACTGCACCACCTTCTGGGCTAGAACACCTCAGTGAGGTATATCTGACAGATTAGGCCCCAGTAAGTAACAACAAAGATACTGCTGTCACTTGGTTTCATCTTACAACAGAAAGAAACTGCTTGTGTGGAATATCAGAACCTGTCTGTTCAGGTCCAAGTGTACGATTTTCAATCATTTTCGAATTTTCCAAATCTGAAAGCAACACCTTGGAGTTGGAACTAAAAAGTGATCTCTAAACTCACAACATAATTTCGGAGAACAGGCCCTCATCGACACATGGCTTAGGCACAAGATAGACATTTGTAATTTAGCATTAAACCACATTCTAAAAATAATTACTTGTTTAAAAAAAATTGGACAGCTGCCATGTGATGAGCCACAATCAAGAACACAGGAAACCACAGTTAGGTAAAACTGGCCTAGTTCTACTGCAGAAAAATAACAATAAACACTCAACCATGAGTCAGGGCAGTTGGATTTGACTAGGCCTTTCCATGAACTTGGAGCTAAACAGTTTTTCTCACTCTGAAAGGCTGATCACAGCCAGTTTACAACAGGTAGGTGCTGTGTGCCATCCAAGCTCAATTTCAAATGAGAGAAATTACCAGTCCTCAATACAAGCTCATCAAAAATCCATGTTTTGCTTTCAAGTCTTGCTTGGGAAAGTCTAGCATCAGGTGTATAATTCTGCTGTGTAGCCTGAGTAGTCTAGTACAGAAGCTGTAGGGAAAAGGCAAGAGAGTGAACAGCCACTAAATTGGCACAACCCCATCTCAGAACCATTCACAGCTCCTCAAGACCTGGCAATGTTGAGTGGCTGGGGGACTGGGTACAAACTGGATCACTTGACCCACTCACCCCAGGGTGTGGATAGAATGAGGAACAAATGATTATAATGAACGTACAGGAGAGTGGACCTCACCCTCCTCTCCATCTGGCCCTCTCAAAGTAAACCAGATAGTAAAAATAATAACATTCCTTATTACATTATACACAAAAATCAATGGATCAAAACAGCCTCATCCCATTTAATCTATTTAATAATGGTTTGAGCTCATTCTTAATTGCAAAATTAAGATATCCAGTTATCAAAATGTAAATTAAATCAGTTTCAAGTGGCAATGATTAAATTTGAAAATATGCCTAAAGCCAGATGCTGTTAGCTGAGAGTTAACTCAAAGCAAATGTCCAAATTTAGTGGGCCTTTGTTCCCATTAATTACTAAATCCAATTTGAATGCCATGATGGGGCTGTGCAAGCCTTAAACGAGATTTTTGCGATCTCCTAGGATGCCTATTTTATTGTAAATTTATACTCTAGAATGGCAATCACGCTGTTGAAAACTCCTGTGGGTTATGGATCTGATGATTATAAAAAAGGATAAAATAACCTATATCCTGGCAAGAAGAGACACAGATAGCTCTTCTGTTTCCAGCAAGACTCCACAGAGTCTACCAGAGAAAAATCACAAAGTGAAATAATTAGCCTTAAAGACAAACACTCACATCACTTCACAGATACTTTTAACATAAATACAAAGTAGGCCTTTAGAAACGCTAATATGATTCGCTCGGTACCGCATCCTTAGGCCCCTGATTGTCTTAGCAGAGGGTATTTCATACAGACGGCACTTTTCCGTTTCAGAACCTTGTGTGAGCACCTCTGTGAACTGAAGACTAGTTTTGCGGTTAACTGTGAAAAGTTGCAAATCCCTGAATTTTGAGGGTATGGATGATTAAGTGGGGATTGCCCACCAGCTGAAACCAAGAGTGCACTCCACTTATGGAGTGGGACTGGGCCAAGCTGGGAAATGGACTCAATAAAAATCAAATCTGGAATGCACACTCTGACACGTATCTGCACGCAGTAAAGTTGCTGTCTGCCACATTACACTAAAAATGCACTCTTTCGTGGTTAAGCATCGGGAGGACACAGATCATCCTTCCATTACTTACACCCCAGGGACTGCAGCCATTTAAGGAGGCAGCTCACCACTACCTTCTCCAGGGCAATAAATGCTGTCCTAGCCAGCTATACCCACATCCCATGGACGAACTTACAAATAAAATCTTAAAACAATATTAACTGAAATATTCAATCAACTCAATTACATCATCAGTGACCAAGGCATTTGAAACATCAGCTGGAGTTTTACAATCATGTTGTGAAGTCTCCCTCCTGTGAAGGCACAGTGAGCCATCAGAGTGATAGCTCAGTGTTGGTTCAGGGCACTGGAAAGGGAAGAGGTTTTTTTTTTGAAAACCAAAACTAGCAAATGTCTCTCTTTGTTTCAAGAAGGAAAAAAGACACATATTCACCTTTGTTAATGTCTATTTAGAGTGTGCGGTTTCTTTCTTACAAAAGAAAACAAAATAAAAGGTCACATGTACAACGCCACTCCCAGCTCCCCTCACTGTTTTCGATGCTCAGTCATACAACAATTCAGATAGGGTAGACAGAAAAGCTCCCAAACTGCTTCCTCTCCCAAAAGCCTCAGTGTCATTTCGCCTTCCTCCTTCTGTTGCTGCATTAGAATGCTGTGGAATATTGCAGTAGCTGCTGTATAATGCAGCATGGGGACAAGGATCATGATAACCCAATCCAACTAATGGCTTGATTATCTCCGTCATGAGGCACCTTCTTAACTCTGACCAGTGCAAAAAAGAGAATTACACACACACACACACATACACACACACACGCACACACACACACACAAACTAATAGACTTGAGTTATCATTATTGGCGAAAAGTTTTTAGAAAACAAACTTCATGCATAACATCTCAGACACAGTAAGGCCCAGGGTCTCCCTTGCTTTTGGTCTGCACCATTGACACAAGGAAACGCAACTTGGATTCAATAGTACAAATGGATGGAGCTGCTCCATGGTTGTTCCAGGTACTGGCTTGAGGCAATTACATTTTTTTGTTGACGAGTGATTGTCCAGCCACTGAAAAGCAGGCATAACTGAGTACAAACACGCGCACCACGCCATCAAAGGGAATACGGGAAGAGACCAACTTGAGCCTGCCACCCAGGCCACTGTCAGAGTCTCTGACCTCTCACAGGTCATCTTTGATGAAGCTCGTGTCCAGGTGCACGATGAGCAGGCGGATGAAGGACATCTCCTTCCTCGTGTTCTCAAAAATAATCCGAGGATCGTCGGACTGGCAGCGCAGGCAGTTTGGAGCCATCACCATGGCAAGGTTGTTGACATCCATCTTGGTTTTGCTCACGTTGACTGGCTGTGCAAAAATCTGTTTAGAAAAGGAGGGGGGGGGGAGAAAAAAAGAGAAGCGTTTATCTCTTCTCTCAGAATGTTAATTCTCAACATTTTGTTTCGTGAGAGTAAAGGGAAGTTGCGGCTTTTTGTTTTCACTAATCCTGTGCACTCTGTCAACGGAACTAACTCATGCCTCCTCGAGTTAATCACCTGCAGATAGGAGGCCGTGAAAAGCCAAGGATGCTCCTGCCATGAACCGCCCAGGTGCATGGCTTCAGGTGCATTCTGTCTCAGGAAAAAACGAGCCTGCCCACGTCTGGGAAAACCAGTGTCAGAGTCAGAAATACAGGTCCCCTTTATAGTTATTAAGACTGAGTCATTAATAAACTTTACCCAATGAGAAAGATGTCATTGGTTTTTGTCTCAGGTTGGCTGAAGGGATCCAGACTGAAGGTCAGGGATTTGGGGAAGCGGGATCCCACAAGCAGATGCGGCAGGGAGTGGAAGCCAGTTTTGAAACTATCTCCTGAAGTTCCACCCAATTAAGAGGGGCATGGGAGCTCCTGCACCTGGAGGGGCAATAGGAGTATCCTAGACTTGCAGATCTTACAGGAGAGAGCGGATGCTGCCAACGCAGGTGACAGAATTATTTTCAGAAGAATACAGCACAAGAGGTGGCCCTTTGGCCCATCATATCTGCGCAGGTTCTCTAGTAGAGACATCCAGTTAGCCCGACACGCCACCTGCTCTTTCCCTTTAAGCCTGTAAAAAAAACATTTCTCTCCAGAATTTATCAATACCCTTACGATCGAATTTTCACTGACTGCCTTTTCAGACACTGGAACCCAGTTCACTCCCGCGTGCGAATAAAAACGTTTCCTCCTGTTTTGTTTCCTTTGCCTCTGTTTCTTTACTCCACCAATCATCTTAAACACTGTCATCCACTTCCAAACTCGGATCAACAAAGAGTCACAAAAAGCTGCAGCACTTAGAATCTTACAGCACAGGGGGAAGTCATTTGGCTTATTGGTGCCTGTCCTGGTTCTTCACTAAGACCGACAAGGCCATAAGAAATAGGAACAGGAGGAGGCCGTTCGACCTCCTCCCCCCACCCTGAACCTGCTCTGCCATTCAATAGGATCATGGCTGATCCAACATTCCTCACGCCCACTGTCCTGCATTTTCCCTCTAACTCTTCATTCCTTGACTGATCAAGAATCTATCTACCTCAGCCTTAAATATACCCCAGGATTCTGCCCTCACAGCTCTCTGAGGCAAGGAGTTCCAAAGACTATCAACCCTCATCAAGATGAAATTCCTCCTCATCTCAGTCTAAAAATGGTGCCCCTTATCCTGGGACTATGTCCTCTGGTCCTAGACTCTCCCATGAGGGAAACCATCCTCTCAGCATTTACCCTGTCAAGCCCCTTAAGAATCCTATATGTTTCAATGAGATCAACTCTCATTCTTCTAAACTCCAGTGAGCAGATTCCCAACCTGTTTAACCTTTGCTTGTAAGGTAATCCCTCCACATTGTGGATCACCCTAGTGAACCTTCCCTGAATAGCCTCCAATGAAATATCTTTCCTTCAATAAAGAAACGACTCACAGAATTCCAGATGTGGTCTCACCAGCACCTTGTACAGTTGCACCGAGGCTTCCGTACTCTTATGCTCCAACCCCCTCGATAGAGCTGTCCAATTACTCCCACACCCTGGCTATTTTCTCACAAAACTGCAGAGGGCTTATTCAATTCCCCCCCCTACATTAAGGCTGCTTCTGACACGGTCACTATTTGATAAGTGCCCTCTTCACCAGGTCCAACACTGCCCAGAGATAGTAGGAACTGCAGATGCTGTAGAATCTGAGATAACAAGGTGTAGAGCTGGACGAACACAGCAGGCCATGCAGCATCAGAGGAGCAGGAAAGCTGACGTTTCGGGTCTGGACCGTTCTTTGAGGAAATTTCTGAAGTAGGGTCCAGAACCGAAACGTCAGCTTTCCTGCTCCTCTGATGCTGCCTAGCCTGCTGTGTTCATCCAGCTCCACATCTTGTTATCCAACACTGCCCAGACCAGTTTTAAACACTGCAGAATAATCTAGAGTGTCTATAGAGTGCAGTTCTCCGCATCATAGAAATCTCTAATGCTGATAGAGGCCATTCGGCCCATCAGGTCTACAGCAACCCTCCGAAGAGGAGCATCCCGCCCAGAACAATCCCCCCACCCCCCACCATTCCTATTGCCGTGACCCCGCATTTCCCATGGCTGATCCATCTGGCCTGTACATCCCTTTGACACTTTGCAGCAATCTTTAATACGGCCAATCTCAGGTGTACTCACCTGTAAAAAGTGGATGAGGTAACCAAGGACAAGGCGGTTTATTTCAGGCAGAGAAGCAACAACGGCGACAGCAGCTTCGGGATTCTCGTAGTTGTTCACGCACTGCAGGTAAAACTTCGGAGGAATCAGGGGTTCCTCCAGCTCTCGGTACCACAGCTTCAGCAGTGAGGCTGCACAGAGACAAAAAAAAAACCACAGGCACAGTGAGAAAAGGACGTGCCCCCTTATAAAATAACAAGGGATATAAATACAGTTAATGGTAGTTGTCTTTTCCCTAGGATTTCAACTCTAGGGCGCACATTTTTACGGTGAGAGGAGAGAGATTTAACAAAAAGACATGACGGGCAAATTTGTTTTTACGCAGAGGCTGATTCACATGTGGAATCAAAGTTACAATGTTTAAAAGACATTTGGATAAGTACATGAATAGGAAAGGTTTGGGAAGGATATGGACCAGGAGCAGGCAGGTGGGACTAGTTTAGTTTGGGATTGTGTTGGGGATGAACTGGTTAGATCAAAGGGTCTGTTTCCGTGCTGTAACACTCTACATGAGGCCGGGCGGGGTGTTTATGAGGCAGTCCTGCATCAAAAAATAAAAATGACATCCTGTGCTTCTGTGGTATGCCCAGAATACCTAGAATTATTTAAATTCAGTCTGCTGTGACAATCAAATTAAATGGGGAACCTTTTCCCATTCTCCAAAAGTATCAAGTGTTTTTCAGGTAACAAAATACTTACACTGTCTGATTTTTATTTTTTTTTTTATTGGCTGGCTCTTATGCCCTGTGAATAACCCATTCTGGGCAACAGTTAAGAGCTTTTCTTTCTAAAAGGCAAGAATGAACCAGACGAGATTTTACAACAGTCGATGACAATTTTCCCGGCTGTCGCTGAGACTAGTTTATAATGCTAGAATTTAGATATTTTGAAACAACTATTTCAGCGACGTTATTACACACCTCTATGGAGTAGGTGGGACTTGAACCTTGGTCTCCTGGCTCAGAGATAGTGATGCTACCATTGCACCCTAAGAGCCCATTATTTCCAGATTGAAGTAATTGAACTTAAATGTCACCAGTTGAACTCCATGTTATCAAAGCATTAAACTGGAGGGTCTAGGGATATATTACCACGACAGTCACTGGTCTAATGTTACTAAGGCAAATACCCAGCTCAAACAGCAACATGATAACGACCAGTCCATCTGCTTCCAGTGATTGAAGGATAAACATTGGCTAACTGCTTCAACACTGTCGTGGGCTGTCTTTCATTTACCCCCAACAGGCTGACAGAGGGTCAGTTTGACACGTCTGAAAGACAGCACATCCAACAGAGCAGCACTCCCTCAGGAGTGGGCTGAGTGTAGATCTTTAGTGAGAGAGAGTGTTGCCAATTAACATGACAGCGAAAGAATGTAAACAACAGAAAGTGCTGAAAATAATCAAGAGATTAGGCAGCATCTGTGAAGAGAGAAGGGAGAAACTGGGGTACACAAACACCAATGTGACTGAACTTGGCATAAAAATTGGATACGCAGTACCCTCTTCTACCACAAGAGGTTGCATGTGCACCATGTAAGTAACGAACTGTAGGACACTTATGAAAGGCTTTAGAAAATGTCTATTATTGGAATTTATGAATTGTGTACGTTAAATTATAGGCACCTAAACCTCTGCCTCTCCCAGCAATGACTTGCTTCAGGCATTTGCATAGGACAAGTTCAACTCTGAGATAAACGACAGGAACAGGAGGTGGCCATTCAGCCCATCAAACTTGTTCCTGACCACCTTCCAGTCCTGAATGACAGACGTTACCTGGTATATGGGGGTCAGCAAGGTTCTCTGGAATCCTCCACTGGTCAACCTGCAGTTTGAGGGCATTCACTTCATCAATGTCCCCAGGCACTCTGAAACAGAGGGACATGGTCATTCAGTCAGCTTCCAGTCAGGGCTTTAAAAAAGCCCTGCATTTTCATCATCTGCAGTTCTTTGGTATTCTTCCTTAAAACTCTGCCGTTTTCCACATGGTGCCTGGCCATTTAATCCCACACTTTGCACAGAATTAAACAAAAACGAGGTACATTCCACGTGTTTACAGAAATCATTGAGCCAATCATCACTCACGAAGAGGGTGATGTTTTTTTATTCACTCATGGGATGTGGGTGTCACTGGCTGGGCCCAGCATTTCTTGCGCGTCCCTAGTTGCCCCCTTGAGAAGGTGGTAGGGAGCTGCCTTCTGGAGCCGCTGTGGTCCATGTGCTGTGGGAAGACCCACACAATGGATTCAATATCTATCTCCCTGATCGAGAAGTCGCATCAACAATGAAACAAACAGATGCTGAGGAAAAGAGTGGACCTAATGCATGTGCAGAAAAAGGGGAAAATGGTTTTAAAAAGCTGGGGAGAAGAGTAGTGAGGCTGAGGAATTTGGGGGGAGGGGTAAGAGGGTTCCAGGCAGTAGACCCGAAAAGTGCAAAAGCATTTTTACCTGCAACATAAGACACATAAACAGGCTGTTTGGCCTGACTAACCTGTGCTAGCTTGTGGTTTTAGCTTATGGTGTAGGTGGCCAATCAGGTAGCCAGGGACAGGAGATCAGGCCGGTGCAGGCTGGGGTGGGGGGGAGGCCATGTAAAGCTTTGAATGAGCTGTTTGAGGGAAGATGGTGGCACGGTGATAATGGGACTTGTCTCGTACCTCACAGGGTCAGGCTTATGCTCTGTGGACACAGGTTCAAATCCCACCACGGTGGCTGAGGGAATATACATTCGAGTAATGAAGATATTTAACTGAAAGCTCGCCACAGAAACTGTGACAATTACTGATTTCTGTTAAAACCTGAGTTGGGAAACATCTGGTAAATCTCTCCTGATCCCCCTCCAGCTCGATAATATCCCTCCTATAACAGGATGACTAGAACTGGACACAGTCTTCCAGAAGAGGCCTCACCAATGTCCTGTATAACCTCAACATGACTTCCCAACTCCGATTTTCACTAATGCTCTTTAGGGAAGGAATTTGCCATCCTTTCCTGGTCCGGCCTACACATGACTCAGACCCAGATTCTTAACTGCCCCCTCAAAATGATCGAGCAAGTCAAGTCACTCAGTTCAAGGGCAATTAGGGACAGGCCACAAATGTTGGCCCTGCCAATGATGCCCATATTTAAAAAAACCCCAAAAAAGCTGGCATATTGGGAGACAGCGCAAGGCAAGAGGAGAAGTCTGAAGATTGTTGCAGTGGACATGTGGTGGGTCGTGTCGGGGACGGGTGAGGGATTGAGGGCAGGGTGGAGTGGGCTTGGGGGTAAATTGGCAGCAGAGAACACTGAGAATACAAAGCCTTGGGCAGCACAGAAATGGCGTGATTTCCAACCGGGTGTGGTGTAACTACTGCTTATGGTGTGCAAACGAAGAGCATTAAGGGTACATATGAATGTAGAGGAGCAAGCCGATAGCTGCACAAGGGCCGGCTGGACGGATGTTTCACAGTCCTGCTGCAACCCAGCTCCACTGCAGTATTTAACCCTTCCCAGCCTGGAGGCTTTGCAAGCTTTTAAAATCAATTTGTGAGCTTCCAATTTGGGTCACCAATGGCTAAAATTAGACGTTCCAGATGGAAAACGCGGCTGAGTGCAGTCAAAAGGGAAACAGAGAGTGTAGGCCAAGTGCTTTCGCTACCTAAAAATAAACAAGTGAGGCAACAAACACCAACATAATGGAACAAAACTTCAACATATAAAAGCAACAGAAAAGAGGTAGGTAACTGTGACTCCTTCAGTCAATGGTTTCCCCCATCGATGCTCCCTTGATATGGCAGAGGGGAGGGGAGAAAGTGAAGATAAGACAAAGAAAAACCAATTGTTTCCTGTCTCCCTTCGTAAAGGCACAATCAAAACCCACTCACGGACATTATTTGGCAGATAGCATGGGGAATGCTTCCAGTGGGAAAACCCACTGGGAACTGAGGACAGATCACCACGGGCATGAGTTCAATAGGGTTTGTCGAATGAGTAGCTAAAACGCAGAGTTTAGAACGTTAGAATCATAAAACAGAAGGCCACTTAGCCCATTGTGTCCATGCCATTTCTCTCAAAGAGCAACCCACTTGGTCCCACTCCCTTTCTGCAGATCCTTGCAATTAATTTCTACAGCGGATTCCTCCTGCTGAGTTCAGCTGGGGTCAGAGTTTTTCAGCTGGGGGAGAAACAGCATGAGGGGGAAGACTATAATCTGCCCCAAGGGGCTGAATGAGGGTTATAGAGTCACAGAGTCATGAAGCACGGAAACAGACCCTTTGGTCCAACCAGTCCATGCTGAACATAATCCCAAACTAGGAACAAAAACAAAGTTGCTGGAAAAGCTCGGCAGGTCTGGCAGCATCTGCGAAGAAAAAATCAGAGTTAACATTTCAGGTCTGGTGACCGTTCCTCACCGGACCCGAAACGTTAACTCTGATTTTTTCTTCATTGATGCTGCCAGACCTGCCGAGCTTTTCCAGCAACTTTACTTTTGTTCCTGATTTACAGCATTCGCAGTTCTTTCAGTTTTTATAATCCTCAACTAGACTAGTCCCACCTGCCTGCTCCCACCCCATATCCCTCCGAACCTTTCCTATTCACATACTTATCCAAATGCCTTTTAAATGCTGTAATTGTACCCTCAATCATCACTTCCTCATGAAGTTTATTCTACATGCGAACCAACCTCTGTAAAACACTTGCTGCTCGTCTTTTTTAAATCTTTCTTCTCTCACCTTAAAAATATATCCCCTAGTCTTGAAATCCCTCATCCAGGGGAAAAGACACCTACCATTAACTCTATTCCCCTCATCATTTTATAAACTTCTATCCCGTCACCTCTCAACCTCCTACTCTCCAGTGAAAAAAGTCTCAGCCTATCTCTTTATAACTCAAACCTTCCATACCTGGCAACATCCTGGTAAATTTCTTCTGATCCCTCTCCAGCTCAATAACACCCTTCCTATAAGTGGTTGACTAAAACCAGACACAGTACTGCAGAAGAGGCCTTACCAACATCCTGTATAACCTCAACATGACTTCCCAGCTCCGATACTCAAATACCTGAGAGACTCTTCATCCTTTGTAAAGGGACTTACTGTAATCGCTGACAAGGTGGCTGACAGAACAGGCTGCTCTGTACACAGACCGCTCCTGGGGGGCACCAGGATACTCCGGAAATCCTGCGCAGAACGGTGAGTGGGAAGGGTTGCAGGCGGAGGAGATGAACTGGGAAAGCCTCACGATCAGTGCAAACAAATCCGCTCGCCTCACACACGAACAACAACCACTGAGGCCAAACAGCGGCTCAGAACAAACTCTCCTCAGGCCAGTGCGTCGGAGGGGGGGGGGGTGTCAGAGATAATGGGTAAAAAAGAGAAAACAGGACATTTGCATGCCCCCAAGCTAAACACAAGACTGTGACAGGGCAAGAAAATTCACTCCAGTGGAGATTTTAATACCAGGTCAAATACACTACAACTCAGCAGGTCTGGCAACTGCTGGTGAAAAGAAAGCAGTTTCGAATCCGGTGGACCTTTCTCCAGAAGGAAGTGCACAATCTCGGTCCAAGGTAACAGAGAGTCATAGAATCCCCAGAGTGTGGAAGCAGGCCGTTCGGCCCATTGAGTCCACACTGATCCTCTGACTAGCACGCCCCACCCCCGCCCACCCTATCCCTGTAACCCTGCATTTCCCATGGCTAATCCACCTAACTTGCACATCTTTGGACTGTGGGAAGAAACCTGGAGGAAACCCACACAGACACGGACAGAATGTGCAAACTCCACACAGCCCGAACCCGGGTCCCTAGTGCTGTGAGGCTGCAGTGCTAACTGTGCTGAGCCGTAACATTCCCTCTTATGTTTCTTTGTTGCTCACAGCCTGTTTATTGTATGGCATATCCCCAATTACCAGGCACCCCTGCAGCAGAGCCCCCTGCCCGCAGCACAGCCATGTCCTGCCCCACCTACAGGCTCACAGTGAACAAACTCAGTCTTACCTGAAGATGCCTTCAACCTGTGCCCCTCCCAGTGCCAGTACTTTATTGGAGAGCTGGGTTTGAACCCAGGGCAGTTTCTTCTCTGGGTAGCGTTCGCGTTGCCTTTCCATGATCTCTTCCAAAGAGCTGCCAAACATGGATGGGGTCAGGATGGCATTTTTCGCATGATGGATCTCCTCAATGGTTGGTTTTCTGAGTCCCTGCGGATGAAGGAAAGCACATTTCAATCCAGCTCAGACCCTCCGTGCCATCCGCTACGTTCAACATTCACTCCATTCATTCCCGACACAAAAGGCGTACAGCAATAACTCATTACACCCCCTCTGACAACACCTCCCAAAGCCCCAGCCTCTATCACCTGGAAGCAAATACGTGTGAACACCACCAGCCGCAAGTTCCTCTTCTAGCCTCACAAACTACATCACCTCGGCTCAACTATAAACAGACACAGAAAGGTTGTATTCCTTTGTGGGAGATTCTAGGGTCAGAGGGCATATTCTCAGATTCAGGGATCGTACGTTTAAGACGCAAACATGAAAGAATTTCCTCTCTCAGAGGGGAGGGAATCTGTGGAATTCTTTACTGCAGAGGGATGTCAAGGCTGGTCATTAATTACATTCACGACTGAGATAGACAGACTTTTCAGATCAGCCATGATCTCACTGAATGGCAGAGCGGACTCAACGGGCTGAATGGCCTGCGTCTAATCCTATGCCCTTATGGTTCCTTTACTGTCGCTGGGTTAAAATCCTGGTACTCCCTCCTTAAGAGCATTTTGGGTGTTCCTACACCTTAAGGATCGCAAAGTTTCCAGAAGACAGCCCACCACTCCCTTCTCAAGGGGCAATTAGGGATGGGCCATAAATGCTGGTCCACTTAGTGGCCCTGACATCCCACGAACAAATAAAGAAAATATAAATCAATGACCTTTTTCCTGCCTCAGCTTTGCTGTTTTGATTTTATTCACCCTTCCTTCCATCAGATCATGCTCCTACTCTTCAAATAATGGCAAGGCTTCCCACATTGTTCTCATTATTCCCAACTGATCCATCCTATTGCAAGAATGTATAAATAAAAATTGCAGGACACTTTTTCTGCCCCCCCAGAGACTTTGCATTTCTTTCAAAATCATGAGGGGTAGACGCAGAAACTGTTCCCGCTCGTAAAAGGACTGAGAACAAGAGGGCACAGATTTAAATTAATTTGCAAATGAATTAATTGCAAAATGGTAAGAAATTTAGCTAGTCTGGAATGCACTGCCTTGAAGTGTGATGGAGGGAGGTTCAACTGAAACATTCCAGAGGGCAACAGATGATACTTACATAGAAATAATGTGCAGGGTCACGGGGAAAATGCAGGCTCACAATCATATAGTACATCAAGTTTGTACTGGCAAAATATACCATCTACACTGATCTCACTGCCCAGCAGTAGGCCAAAGCCTTTGATGTTATCACATTCCAAGTGCTTATCCAAAGTACTTTTTGAAGGTTGTGAGGTTTCCCACCTCAACTACCCTCCCAGGCAGTGCATTCCAGACCCCAACCACCCTCTGGGTGAAAAACCTTGCTCCCAGTTCCCAGGCAATTGGCACTAAATCAAAATGCTCAGAGAGTCGGTGCACACACGATGCGCCGAAAGGCCCCATTGTGCATGTATCACTTTTATAATTCGGAAACTGGTCAGAATACGAAATAAACCATCTCTTAAGAGAGCTTGTCTTTATAAGCCAGGCCACAGTGTCTAAGAGCAGGGAGGTTGTACTGAGAACTCTATAAAATGTTGATTAGAATCACAGAATTGCTGCAGTGTGGAAGCAGGCCATTTGGTCCATCAAGTCTACACCAACGCTTTGGACAGCATTCCCCACCCCAGCCTCATTTCTCTACTCTTTCCCGGTATAACCCTGCATTTCCGATCCCGCCAGCCTGCACATCCCTGAACACCATGGGGCAATTTAGCATGGCCAATCCACCCTAACCTGTGCACCTTTGGACTGTGGGAGGAAACCCGCGCAGACACGGGCAGAATATGCAAACTCCAGACAGACAATAGCCGGAGGGTAGAATTGAATCTGGGTCCCTGGCGCTGGGAGGCAGCAATGCAAACCACTGTGCCAACGTTTCACCAACCATCAGGCCACAGCCAGAGTACCATGTGTAGTTCTGAAATCCATATTAGAGAAGGGAGGTGATAATACCTGGGAGGGTGCGGAGCAGATTAATCAGAATGTTGCCTGGGCTGGCGAGTTTCTTTTATGGACAGCCTGGGGTTGTTTTCCTTTGAGCACAAGAGGCTGAGAGGGGGGGACATAATTGAGACGTATTAAATTGAGGTACATTGACAAGGTAGACAGGAAAAAACTTTTCCCCTTGGTGCAGGGATCAATGACCGAGGGGCACAGATTTAAGGTGAGGGGCTGAAGGTTTAGAGGGGATGTGAGGAAAATAATTTTCATCCAGAGGGTGTTGGGAATCTGGAACTCACTGCCGGTAAGGGTGGTAGATGTGCACCTGCAATGCCAAAGCATACAAGGCAATGGGCCAAGAGCTGGAAAATGGGATTAAAATACTTAAGTGGTTGTTAAGGTTTTGGAGTAGATCTGTAGCTCGGGTTGTGGGTGTTGAGGTTGGTTGGCTCGCCGAGCTGTTTTGTTGTTCCGCAGACATTTCGTTACCGTGCTGGGTAACATCCTCAGTGCAGCCTCTGATGAAGTGTCAGTGTGTTTTCCCGCCTGGTTTTTAAAGTGGTTGTTCTTTGACCAACACAGATTCGATGGGCTTAAGGGCCTTTTTCTGTGCCATAGATTGAAGGACTTTATGAGGAGAGCAGGTCAGTAAATGAGAGAGAAAGAAATTCAAGGATATGCAGAAAAGTGACACGGCAGAGGAGATGATTGAAACAGATATAATAACAAGGTTTAAGAGGCATTTAGATATGAACAGGCAGGGAATATAGGGATACGGACCATGGGGAGGCAGACATTTTTAGTTTAAAATGACACTATAGTCAGCACAGACATGGTGGGCCGAAGGGCCTGTTCATGTGCTGTACTATGAAGTGGAGGTTGTTGAGGAGCAGGATAAAAACTGGCACGATGAGCTGGGCTGAATGGCCTGTTTCTCTTAATTCCGTGTGTGAATCTAGTAGCTGATCCTTCGTTTCTGCACCTGCCCGAGATCTTAGGGTCAGGACCGCAAACCAACACTGCCAACAGGAAAACACAACTTCAAAAGAGAGAGAACTTGGATCAAAGGGTGCTACAGTAAAACATGTGAGCTGTTAATTGATTTGTTTTTGTTAAAAATAGCAAGCAACAACCCTTTGCTTTGGACTGGAGATGTGTTTCATATTGAGAATCGCGCAGGAACAGGCCAATCTGGCTCAGGCAGCTCAGACTGTGTTTGTTTTTGTATTCCAATCCCATTCCTTCCTCATACACTTCTAACATCCTTTTTTCAGCTTGAATTAAAATGCACAAACATCCCCCTACAGTAAGAAAAAAAGGCAACAGGAAATTTCCCCATTTGATATGGGCCGAAGGGCCTTTTTCTGTGCTGCAGACCTCTGCACGTGTGTGTGTATGTGTGTGTGTATATGTGTGTGTGTATATATATATATATATATATATATGTGCGTATATGTGTGCGTGTGGGAGGGGTGGTGGGGTTTAGTCAGCTCATTTGGCTGGATGGCTGGTATGCTGATTGATGGTAGCAGCACAGGTTGAGTTACAAGAGGAGGCTGGATAGGCCGGGATTTCGCTCGCTGGAGTGAGAGAGGCTGAGGGGTGACCTTATTGAGGTTTATAAAATCATGAGGGTCATAGATAAGGTGAATGGCAAAGGTCTTTTTCCTAGGGTGGCAGATTTCAAGACTGGGGGTATACTTTTAAGGTGAGAGGAGAAAGATTTTAAAAAGACATAAGGGGCAATTTTTAAAAATTTTTTTACAGGGTGGTTTGTGTGGAATGAACTTCCAGAAGAAGTGGGAGATGCAGGTACAGTTACAACATTTAAAACACATTTGGATAAGTACATGAGTAAGAAATGTTTGGAGGGATATAGGCCAAGCGCAGGCAGGTGGGACCAGTTTAGTTTGGGATTATGGTCAGTATGGTCTGTGCTGTATGACTCTAATTCCCACACTTGCTGAGGTGACCTTGAAAGTTTGTCTTCTCCACTTCACGTAGTGACCCTTGGGTTAAACTCACCACCAGTCCATTGATCCTCTGAGTCTACGGTAACTTTACCATTAACTTTTGTTTACTCTGTTCATGTTAGTCCAACTCATTTCTTTCTACCCTCAGCTTCGACCCTCTCCTGACCAACATTTTAACGCTGTGTCGAAGTGGAAACGGGCACTGCAGAGGCAGAATAAAGGATTACTGCAGAAAGGAAGTGCAGCCCTCTATTACTGCCTGTCACCAGCTGCACAAATTCCGACTCTGGGAGCACACAGCTTCCCAGGCTGAGAGTAACCCTGTGCAGGCTAGGAGGAGGGATGTACAACAGTACAAAGAGCAGACAGAGACGGACAGGAACAGCTAGTGAAATTTCAGGGTGACAGCTGCTGGCAACGATTAAAACAAAATCTTCAGCTGTAAACCTTCTTTCCTCCAGTCACAGCAACCTTCTGCAGCTTGCGGTAGCAGTACTTGGCGTATGTGCTGATGAGGAGTTCTGAAAGAAACAAAGAAATAAGCAGTCAGTCCCAGCAAGTGTGGCACTGTAATGTGGCGAGGTTACCTGACCTCCGTCTTGTCCACTAGGTCCTGGTATCTTGGTGCTGATTTAAACCCAAGGAATGCTGCACCCACACTGTGGTACAAAGAGCTCGCCCCCTCTCGTGGGGCCCCAGTTTCAAAAGGAACAAAGTGTAGACTGGCAGAACCACTGAAAGGGTGGGGCCAGATCTTTTTTTTTTTAAAAACAAACCATAGGGGAAAAAATGCATTTGTACAGTGCCTTTCATAACCACCAAGCATCTCAGATTCCAGTGTAGTTCTTTTGAACTTGGCATGCAGGCCGTGCAGCAATCAAATCTGCACACGGCCAACTGAGAATAACTTTAGTTTTATCGAGATGCTTGACCGCAAGACTGTAAGATTTAACAGCATTAAATAGGCCATTCAACCCGTCGAGTCTGCTCTGCAATTCAACGAGATTATAGCTCATCTGATCATCCACTTTCCAACCTTTTCCCTCATAAACCTCACAGATTAAAAATATCTGTCCATCTCAGGCTTGAATACACTTCAGGATCAAACCTCCCCAAGCCCTCTGTGGTGAAGAATTTCACAGATTCACTCCGCTCCAAGGAGAAATTCCTTCTCATCTTGGTCTTAAGATGTGCGACCCCTTATTCTGAGATTGAGGGATAGATAACAGTCAGGGCATTGGTGAAGGATGATGTCCCTCCCTCTTTCTCCTTTAAAATTGTGCCATGAGGTCTTTAACATCGGCCAGAGCAGGCTGTCAGGGCCTTGGTGCAACATCTCACCACAAAGACAGGACCCTCTGACAGTGCGGCACCATGAGTGTGTCGGCCTAGATTCTTTTTCATGCTTAAGTCCAGGAGTGGGACTCAAACCTTGCGATAGAGGGGTGCTTTACAAAAAGTGCTTTAAGAGGGAAAACAAATCACTATTCTTGGCTCCCCCCACTCCAATCAAACTTCAGAAAACCACAGAGGGAAGTCACTGACAGGGTCTCTCAGTTTACATTAATTCTGCTCTCTGGTAGACATCAAACTCAGTAAATGCTAACCAACGAGTTCTGCTATGGGATTTCTCAGTGCTGGCACCTTACAATTTGAAATATGAGAAATGTTTAAATAAAATGTATATCCTAGGCTTTGAGCAAACAATTCCAGGAGTTTATCTTGTGCTGAGCACCTATTAAATTCTCCCAATTAGGCCAAGTGCTGGAAACCCATGTTAAACACCACTTTAATGCCTTGTAAAATCACCAGGAATACATAAGCTTACTGTTACCGGTTAACAGTCCTTAATTAGAAGCAAAAGGAAACACAGTCACTTTTATTCGAGCCATCAGTGTGATCAACTAGCTCAAACATACCTTCCTCCTCCTCAATGTTCTGCTTTCTCTTCTTCCTCGATTTTGAAAACCTCTTGTTTTTCATCTCCACCAGCTCCTTGATGCGCTCGGTTACTGGAATTTAGAAAAGAAAACAGAACTAAAGTACTGGAAAGGTCACTCCAACATGTGGCTGAACTTGTGATGATTCTTTTAAAGAAAACAATGGCAAGACAGACTTTTAATTGACACATAACAAAGTGTAACAGATGTCAGAGTGCACAGTCATCCCTCACAGAGAATTACAAGGAGGCATTAAACAAACCTGGGTCAGGATTTCCTGGAGCTTAGAAAGTTTGCAGTGATTTGATCAATGAGACATAGGAGTAGACCATTCAGCCCATCGAGTCCTCTCTGCCATTCAATGAGATCATGCCTGATCTTATAATCCTCAACGCCACTTTGCTGCCTTTTCCCACATAACCCCCGATTCCCTTACCATCTAAAAAATCTCTCAGCCTCGAATGTACCCAGTGATCCAGCCTCTCGACAGCCCTTTGTGGTAAAAAAAATTCCACAGATTCACAACCCTCCAAGAGAATAAATTCCTCCTCATCTCTGTCTCAAATGTGCGATCCCTTACTCCGAGATTATGGCCCTCTGGTGCTAGACTGTCCCTCAACCTCTCTGCAGCTACCCTGTCAAATCCCCTAAGAATCTCGCACACTTCAATAAGGGGAGTTTGTCTGTCATTAAGGAAAGCAGACGCAGTTGACAGGACCTCATCCTGCTGGCCGCACAGTCTAGTCCTGCACAACGTTGTCTTCAAATTAGGGCCAGACCTTTCAGAAGTGAAATTGGGAAACACTTGCATGTTGAAAGTCAAGAATTCTCTTTCCCAAATAGTGACCGATTCTAGATTTAGAAAGCTCCTTGATCTGGAGCTGCATGAAGACGATGAAGCCCTAAGTCTATTTCTGTAGCTTATTCTTCCTGGAACAGGTCAGTGGCCTGTCACCCCTGGGACACCATCTTCATCCAACATGGCTGACCAGGAATTGGTTCACTTCCTCTTACTGTCCGTCATGGGAGTACTGGAAGGATCTGCAGATTGTATTTGAATGTTGGCCACACTAGCGATGCCCACACCCCAGGAACGAATAAATAAATGCTATTAATCAACCTGTTCGGCCATGTTAAGAACACAGCTTCCTGCTGATCAAGTCCCGCCCGGGACCTCCTGGCTCAGAGGCAATAACATTAATCCACTGTGCCACAAGACAGTCTTGATTGATGCTGGGCTAACAGTGAGTTTTAAATCTCAGATTGCTAGATGTGTTTAACTGAAGGTACTGAGGCAATGGAGATGTACTGACTCCTGGGATGACAGCTCTAACATACAAGGAGACACGGGGGCGGGTCAGTTAGGACTATATTTACTGGAGTTTATTAGAATGACGAGGATCTTACAGAAACCTATGCATTTCTAATGGGACTCTATGGGATAAACACAGGAAGGATGGTCCTGATGACCAGGGAGGCCAGGACCAGGGGGCACAATCTGAAGATACAAGGTAGGCCATTTAGGACTGAAATAAGGACAAATATCTCTTCACCCAGACAGTGAGAGCCATGGAATTCTCTGCCACAGAAAGTGGTTGGGTAAAAAAATGTTTTCAAGAAGGAGTTGGATTTTATTTCTTGGGTTGAATGGATCCAAGGGCATGGGGAGAAAGTAAGATTAGAGTACACAATTGGATGATCATACTGAATAGCGTAGCAGGCTCAAAGGGCTGAATGGCCTACTCCTGTTCCAATTTTCTCTGTGGAGCCAGGCTGCAGAGCAGCAGTAATGTTAGTGAATGGGCTGAACAGACTCAAGGGGGCAGACAGCCTACTCCTGCTCTTGTAGTCACAGACGGGGTAAAGATCTCAGGCTCGGGGGGTGTTAGGAGTTTATTTTTCCCCAGCCTTTTACAAACTGTTGTTGAAAGTGGCATCTAAGGGGAGAATGGCGGACAACAGGAATGCAATGACTCAAGGTTCAGGGTCACGGAAACAATGCAGGCAGCCTGAATTAAAACAGCACTCTCGGTCAAACTCATTTGACAGAACACACTCCTGGAACCGAAGGCTCTCTCCCTATTCACTGGGCACTGCGGTATTTCCATCGCTCTCCCTGAGGCAGAACTGAACCTACTGGTGCTCACTCGTTCCCTTCTGTACGTTTGACCAGCAATGAGGCAATACAAGCTGGTAACCATCTCCTAGGCAGAGTCACCGCAGCTACCTCCAAAACTGTGTGGGAATGAGAAGTGATCCTTCCTTGCACTGTCCTGTGGGGCGTGTACTCAGCCCCTGTATGTGACAGCACTGGGGGAGGGAGGAGAGAGAGCCAGAGAGCAAATGCAAGAGAACGAGAGAGAGCGCGTGAGAGAGAGCGCGAGTGTGTGCACAACCTAATTCTGTGCTGCGTGATTGCAGTATTTCCCACATGCTATACCACTGAATGACTTCAGCTTTAAGACAAGAGTCACTGAGGGTACCATTGACTCTTTACCCCAAGTGGAGCAGGGTGCCAAAATGCTCACGCCTGGGGAACTTTGTACCAAAAAGCACAAAAAGTGGTAGCTCCATTCACAATCTCAGAATGGCCCAAAGTGCTTTAAGCAAATTAAGTGCTTAGAAATTTGGTCACTGTTGTATCGCAGGAAATGCAGCAATAAATTTGTATATAACTCCCACAGACAGCAGTGTAACAACAACCAAATAATATACAGCAAACTTTCTTTTAAGTACTCTTGATAAACTGGCAAATATTATATACTTGAAATACTGGATGTTTTCTGTATTATCGCAATCTCCGAGGAGTCAGTTGAGGGTGTGAGTGAGAAGGCTCTCTCTGTTGGTAAGTTTTATGGAAGGCAAAGTTGCATTATTAAAGTGGTTTACGCTGTAAATAACAGTGATGCGTATATCCCCCTGCATTAGGTTTCCATTACTTAGTGTGTGTTTTCACATTGATTATGTGGACCTCGTGGTTATCTGAAATATTTGATCAATTGGCACATTCCTGGTCCCATAGATGACAGATAATACAAGGATTGCTATACTTGCAATACTGACTGAGAAATAAATACTGGCTGGGACACTGTGGAGAACTCTCTTACTTTTCTATCACCTTAATCGACAGAGTCTAAGTTAATGTGTTATCTGAAAAATGGCACCTTTGAGCGCGTCACACTTCTTAAACTCTGTATTTATCCAGAGATCAGCTAAGCCACAGTCCCTGGTACAGTCTGCGAGTTTGGGCTGGAGGTGGGGCAGCTAGAAATGGCTGCAAGCTTTGTACATCATAGATTAGAGAAGAAATGATCCAGGGTTGTGCAGCCTGACTGCTATCTGCTACATGTGCACGTGTGGCCCTACTATTGTGTGTGTGTGTGTGTGTGTGTG